ATATATATATATATATATATATATATATATATATATGATGGACTCTGTTCCGTCGGTTTTGACGTATGAGGTTCCAAAACTTTGTTTATTTAACCTGTGTGTGAGTCACCAATCATTTCAGTCCTGCTAGTGATTTGCAAAAGAAGTCCATCCCAGATTAGCAAGAGTGTGAATTTTTGGTATTTGGCTGGAACAGCACCAGCATATTTTATTCCTTTCCTTAGTTTGACGAAGCTTGACAATATTTGATCTTGCCTTGTTCTTGATGCCATTGTAGCATGTAAATTCCATTCATTACGATCAATTACGATGTTCTCAAAGGTAGTCCCATGATTTATATTCGCAGCTAAGAGGTTAATTTTCAGCTTGTCCCTGTCCTAAGCAATGGCCCATTGGTTTTCGATTACCATTGTCAAGTTGGGCATTTTGGAACACACACACACACACACAAAATCATATATATATATATATATATATATATATATATATGAGAATATTAATTGAAACGAGTTTAATTGATTTCGTTTTAACCCGCTTATCAACGGTTAGCAAAGGTTCCGTCTGCCCAGTTTCAATCACTTTGGTTTTAAGAATTTTGTTGGAATCGCATATATATATATATATATATATATATATATATATATATATATAAACCATTGCCGGTATCACGGCTTCAGAGTTCCATGCACAACGCAAGGTTAAGTGCTGCCAGAGACTGAATATTACATAATTTAAATTTTAATCGAACTACCTGGTTAACGCAATGTTATTATCCGGGGATTACTGTTTTTTTTTTAAATTTTATTAAAATAAACGAACTTATCCATCTCTAATAACTTTATATATATATATATATATATATATATATATATATATATATATATATATATATATATATATATATAAATAAAATTAATTGATGGTTATATATTGGCATAAAGAAATATACATTTATTTAAATGGATTTATGGTCATAAGTAACAATTGATCCTCATAGTGATTTTAAAAAAATCCATATATATATTGTGTAATATATGATATCTACAGTATATGGCTAAACTTTCCTTTTTTAATTATATTTTATTTACTTATCTACTTTGACGATATATATATATATATTTATATATATATACTTGTTCTTGATACAAATATATATATGTAGTGTTATATTCATTATATATATATTACGATGTTCTCAATGTATATATATATTCATATATATATATATATTAAATTTCAGAGGTCCCTATTTAAAGAATGGCCGGCCCACGTTTCGATTACCATTGTCAAGTTGGGCATTTTTGAACAAATGCATTTACACACACACATTATTATATATATAACGTATATTTTAAAGAATATTACATTGAAACATTTTCAAAATGTCTTTCGTTCATAACACAGTTTCGACCTCCCCCATTTCTTAACATTTCAATCACTATGGTTTTCAGGCACTTTCCGCCAAAGCAATCTTTTACCTATATATATATATATAAGATTGTATTTATATACGCCATAAATATATATATGTTTCCTTGCCAATATCATGGTACGAGTGTTCCATGCACAACGCAATATTTGTGTAAACGCAGAGACTGACCGTTACATAATTTAAATTTTAATCGAACGAATATTTTTATGAAATGTTATTATTCAGGATTAAACGTTTTTTAATTTTGTTTAAATAAACAGATCCATTTGCTTAAATACTTGTATCTCTAAAATAAATACGTTAAAACATAAATATAAAATGTATTTATATATATAATAAATTTCGGAATTGATGGTTATATTCGAACATAAACGTCATTTGTTTACATATAAATGCCAGAGCAGTTATAAATGTACGAATTAATTGATTGTCATTTATAACAGTAAAATAAACCTGTTGTAATACCATATCTACAGGTTTATAAACTTTCCTGGTTAATTATCCGTCAGCGTATGACGTCATCCGTGTAGGATGCAGGTTCGAATCGTCCGATGAACGAATATTTTCTATATAAATTTATTTACATTCAGGCCGGTAAATGTTATTTAATACTGTTTATCATAAATAGATATTTGCTATAAATATATATATCTATAAAATAACAACGTTAAACATAAATAAAATGTATATAATAAATATATATATATATATATATATTATCAGTTTGTGTCTCGTAGGGATAATTTCAAGAAGAATATTAAGCTATGGAGGGCACAATGTAGAGTAAAGTGCACAATAATAATAATAATAATAATCAAGACGACAACCTTAAAGATTTACTTCAATTATAATTTATTTCGTAATTATCTATATATTCATCTCTTTCAGATCGAAAACCGTTTTCTCCTTGATTATTATATATATATGCATATATATATATATATATATATATATATATATATGATTTTAATACCTATACAAAAAAAAAGATAATACAATTAGTAAATAAAACTGATATCAGTAAAAAAATGAAAAGCCTAAAATCATCCGTGTCGCTTGAAACAAATCAACCAACACTGCCAAAAGAAAAAAAAAACACCAGTAGAGTTACCTAAGTCGATGCGTAAAATTTCTCAATACACTAAGTAAAGCTGTCAATAGGCATTGCCTCCTGTGTATGGAGGAAAATTTAGCCATAGCCACTTATAATAACCCTAAGTTACTCAACCAGTGATCGAAAATACTTCACGGTTATAGACATAAAAAAGCCTGATTACTTGAATAAGGGGATGGTTGTTTTTTTTTTTTGTGTGCTTGTTTTTTGTTTTTTTGTGGCCGTTTTTAGCAATAAAATATCTTTGGCCAACCCTACTTTCTTTTCCTTTGTCTTGTTTTTGCTTTTATGCTAATTTTCTTATGACCGTTTTTTTCAGCAAAATGTTGTTTGGGTCAACCCTCTTTAGCTAGAGTTAGCCTGAGGATCCGTTTTATGAAACCTAGGCAAATAGGTTCTGACTCATGAGGATTATATATATATATATATATATATATATATATATATATATATATATATATATATGAAAAGAAATATACTCTTATGATGTGCTATATTTATGGGAACAAGTGCTCAATATCAGAAATAGAGTGTGTGTAAATATAAAAGTGAACATTGCATTTATTTATTTATTTATTTATTTATTTGAGTTAATTTTAAAACCTGTTTTGGTTAACACAAACAAATAAATAAATCGATTAAAATAAAAATAAATAAATATATAACATAAGAAATAAAAATTAGAATTAAATTTTTTTTTAAATCAAAAGAAGCAAAATAATTTAACCCAAATAAATAAATAAACAAATAAACACCTTCCGGCAAAATAACCGCCAAAATAGACTACCCACAATGCACCACTGACCCGTATATGTAAATAGCCAAGAAAAACAACAACACTCGTGGCCTGACGATTGCGGCTAGCATGAAACAGCCTGTAGACTCTAAGTGTTGACTTTTATGTTCTCTTATATATATATATATATATATATATATATATATATATATATACCTAAGTGTTGACTTTTATGTTCTCTTGTGTGTGTATATATATATATATGTGTGTGTGTGTGTGTGCGCGCGCGCGTGTGTGTGTGTGCAAATTTTGTTAATTCTAAATTTTGAATATTAGGCTTAGAATCCGCTCAGAAAATGTATAAACATGATATAATTACCATAGATTTATCAAATATAATCGACGCTAAATCAACTAAGTCACTTGAACTTTTCTCGATGAACTGAATATTATAATTCTAATTATCTATTGAGCGCCTTTTGACAGAAGTTGTCCAGAGACAACACGTTAAATTCTTGTAATTTTCATACATTAAGTCGAATTTCCTTATCGATATAAATGAGTAATTATTAAAATATAACATTTAGTTATATATTAATGTATACTTTGAACACCCGTGTCAAGATTAAGCTACGTTTAACACCACCTTTTATGCTACTCGAATCGACTGTGGTAATCATTTTTTTTAGCCTAGTTAAAATCCAGATTTTTCAAAAGCTGATTTTCAAGGTAGAAGAGGCTTTAGCTGTTGTATGGCTGATATGCTGTACGTTAAGTTAAGCCTAGTAAATCTCATATTGCTTCATGTTGCTTTTGTTGATAGTATGAAAAAAAAAACAGCGGAATACAATATATTGCAAAAACTAGGGAAACAAAAAAATGTATTTTTTGTTGATAATCACGATAGGGATTATGTTCACAGACAAAAGATTTTGTTTTGTGCAGTGGTCGGCAGATCTCCACCAAGATGGCGTCGGAGGCCTGCAAAAAAATGTATCAAACATAAAACTCTTCGAGCTGTGGTTTCAATGGAAGTCTTTTTCTTTCTTTATGTGTTTATTTATTCATCCTCCCCACAGTTTAGAGATTGTAGAACGATTACGGAATAAGTAAACAATAAACTGATATAGTTTAGCTTATTGAGTGTGGAACATTTGTATTAGTCTTTCTTTTTCCTCACATATTTATTTTAAGATTCAACTGTTTGAAATGCATTGTCAGGAATGTGGAATGTACGCATGCGCCGTTTTTGCATTCTTTTACGTTTATATTATACATTCTTTAAGTTTAAGTGTGTTTATCTTATTACAGTTTCTTGGTTGCACATCGAATTTAATCCGAAACGCAAAACCATCAATGTCTCTCACTCACTCAGTCTACACACACACACACACACACACATATATATATATATATATATATATATATATATAATTTTTGCATATATATTATATATGCACGGTACTTATTAGAAAGTACTCAATATCAGAGATAAAGTTAACATAATCAGTTGTATGGATATGCGTGTAACCCTGTGTTTCACGCTTTTGCGATCATCAGAAGCGTGAAATCCAGAGTTACAATCTCATATCCATACAACTATATATATATATATATGTGTGTGTGTGTGTGTGTGTGTGTGTGTGTGTGTGTGTGTGTGTGTGTGTGTGTATTCTAAAATTTTGTATTTTGGTCATTTGTTTATTTTGGGTAAATACAGTCGTACAGAGAGAATTGTGAATAGATAGATAGATAGATAGATAGATAGATAGATAGATAGATAGATAGATAGATAGATAGATTGAAAAAGAGAGAGGGGGAATCAGGATATAGAAATCAAGCCTTCTTGGTCTCTATCCGTTTCACGCTTGAAACGATCTTCAGGCCCTGTGTCACTACTTCTTGAGCAAATTCCATATATAGGTAGTCTATAGAAAATGTGGAACAAGCCTTTCCCAGTTCTATTGTTTTGGAGTTATAGTTTTCGTTCATTTATTGTCTTCACCATGCATTTGTTCATTTTAATAATTTATTTTATTTTAATTATTATTTATTTTTGTTTATTTTTATTTTTCATTTTATTTGATTTGGCATATTTTTTCTGCTCTAAATATTTGGTATTTGAAATAAAATTTATTAGTCTTAGATTGTAGGATGTTATTTAGTCATTTACACTGTGATGTTGTTGTAGATAATTTTGTTGAAATTTGTTTTCCTGTTTGTATTTTGAAATAAGCTCTGTTCTTTCGTTTAGAAGTTTATTTTGTTTTCGAAATATGATTATTGTTATTTTTCCTGAAGGCAAATGTTACATTGAGGAACTGCGTACGGTGGTACTTTTTTGTTATTATTTCCTTGTAATTTTTTATTGGTTTGGTTTGGTTTATTTTGTTTTACGGCATATCAACCTCAATGAGACATTTTTTATTGCTCGTGATATTTTCTGGTAATATATTTCCTTCAAAATTGTATTGTTGGTAATAATTTTTTTCAAAAAAGCATTGCTGGTAATAGTTAACTACTAGCCTATACCTGGGACCCTAACAGGTGCTACCACCCCGGGCCAGGGTGTACCTGGGAACACCAGCAATTAAGAGGTGGTTCCACGCTCCTCAAAACCTCCTGATCAGAGGCCTTGCTGCTGGACCTAGTTTACCCAGGACGTGGGTGTAGTTTATCGTCTTACCCAGGACGTGTAAATTTTGAGTATTTTGATTTAGATTTTCATGGTTCTAGCTAACTTTTGAAATTCTTCTGATATTAGCACATTTTCGTTTTGTTGTCATATAAGGTTTTGCGTGTGTAGCTTCTCTGTGCCAGCGACCAATTCTCAAACAATGATTTTATTGCTCAGCCAAAGATAGGGGCTCCCCAGACTGAGTAACAGGGAGCGTATTACTCTAATTTCGTATTTCAAATGTGTTTATATGTGTCTCGGTGTTTCCATTGATTGATTCGTTTTCTCCGAATTATCAACATTTTGCGGGTTATTTAAATCGATAAAATAGTTCTACATTGCAAGTTTTTGGGTTTTTTTAAATAATAATGGTTTAGTGATACTAATTAACCCATAGCTGGGGAAACAGGAGGTTTCCTATGATTCCAAAGATTATTTTCACGTAAGTGTATATAACGAACCCAAAGGGAATTGGAATTCGTCTGTCCGATTAACAATTACGAGCCATTATCAATTACATCACGCGTACATCCAAGCTTACAGCATCTGATATTCCCAAACGGTCACCCACCTAAGTACTGACCAGGCTCGAGATTGCTTAACTTCGGTGATCGTACGAGAACCGATGTTACAACTTGATGTGGCCTTAAATCTGTGTCTAGGCGTGCTTTTATATCTGTGGTTCCCAACAGAGGGTGGGAAGCCCCATAGATGTCGGGGGTGGGGGTTCTTGAATCAGTTGTTTACAGTGAATTTTATTCTAGTCAGTATGTGTGAGTATGAGAGTGTGCGCGAGTTAATACATACGCTGCATATACAGTATGCATACATAAAATATGTGTGTGTATGTATGTACACGCGTGATTACGTATGTATTGTATGTGGACACGTGGCCGGGTGTTTAAAACGTTCGCATTTTGACCATGAGACCTTGGTTCGAATCTCAACATGGACAATTTGTCAGGAAGGAGACTTGGAGGAGTCGATCTCACCATGCAGCACCTTTAGAAAGTGCCTAAAAATTATACCACGGGTTGATCCAAGCCTTATTGAGTGAGTTGAGGAGACGGGACCCATGGGGCCGTCGATAGCTTTTCTAGCAAGAAGTCACAAGTTATCGTGGCCGAGGTCTTGAGTGTGCTGGCCTTGGTCAAATTGTTGATCACGCTAAATAACACACTCTTTCCCAGAAACTGTAACTAAGTTCTCAGCATAGTTGCAGTATAAACCACAGGTGGGCTCTGTGGGTGTTGAATAAACAAAAATGTGCCTGAGCAAGCGTCTGCAAAAGAATTAGAAAAAGTACCTGCCGTAGTAGAGGGGTGTCGTCGAATACGAGTGTCCAGCTACACGTATGTAATATATATATATATATATATATATATATATATATATATATATATATATAAATGTAGATAAAACTCAATACCCAATATGTATGGCCATTTCACCCAAAAGGGGCTTTTCAACACCAAGGAATTAGATAAAAAAAATGAATCATAATGTTCACCACTAAGAGAAAATGTATTTAAAATGGGTAGGGAATAGAAAGATAAAGAGGGAAAAAAGAGAAAGGATAGGAATCAATTAGGGAGGGTGATAGAGTAAATGAATAGTACAGAGAGAAATTTTCAAATTCATCTAATAGCATGATTCATTTTTTTATCTTTGCTGCTGAAAAGCCCGTCCTGGACGAAATGGCCATACATATGGCGTTTGGATTTTATCTAAATGTATTTCATATATGCTCTGTAATAAATATATTGATCTTTCTTCTGTGGATCAGTTTTAATATTTTATATTACTAGGATTCATTTGGATTACTTACCACGGATTTTACATACACACACACACACGTATATATATATATATATATATATATATATATATATATATATATATTAGTAACACAATATTTCTATGAATACTTTAAAATTCTAAAATTAAATGATACTAGTATTGCATTTATGCAGTCTCAAGTTGTAAAGGAAGGTTATTGGCATTTTAGGCATCCTCCACATGAATAGGAGTTCACTTTTTGAATAATAACAATTACATGTCCCAGGGTGGGGGTATGCTTAGGTGGGGCATGGCTCCCCAAAAATGTTGGAAAGCACTGGTATATATTAAATGAAACCAGGTCATGTAAATCACTCAGGCACAAATATAGACATATGCATAAATATTACATATGTGCATGCCCTAGAGTGCTTGACGGAGAGCGAATCAGTTCTACTTTCGCCAATGTGTTTAGTATGTTTGCTTCTGTTAAGATACACAGCTTATGTTCACAGACGGACTCCAACAACAACCACCAAGTTCTGACCAATGTTTTCATAGTGCCGGCACTGTGATGATCATTAACACAATGTGATTACTGCGTATTTTACAAGTATGCGGATATTCCGACTTTAATTTAGGTCTAAAAGGTCTAGTCGAAAGAACGCTATTTTCTCAACCACTATGCAGCTCCACGTGTTCGAACAGCTTACACAGACGCATTGTGCCTACTTATAGTATAGACAATAATAACCTCACCACCTTCAATAACCTCCACCTTCCCGTATTTCATCGTGTATACGTATTTACCTCCCTTTGTATTCCCCTCTGCCTTACATGCAAGCTTCATTCTCGTCGCCTTAAGTCAGAAAGATTCGACACGGTGATAAAATAGTCGTATCTTTAAAAAATATCAAAGATTCTTTACTCAAGGTAAGAAGGTCTGGAGCCATATTACGCCCTGAAAGAAAGAAAGAAAGAAAGAAAGAAAGAAAGAAAGAAAGAAAGAAAGAAAGAAAGAAAGAACCGTACAAAAATATAAAATAATAGAGAAAAACAGAGATAGAAAGAGAGATAGTAAGAAAGAAAGAAAGAAAGAAAGAATCGTACAAAAATATAAAATAATAGAAAGAAAGAAAGAAAGAAAGAGAGAAAGAAAGAAAGAAAGAAACAAACAAACAAATAATCGTAAAAAATATAAAATAATAGAAAGAAAGAAAGAAAGAATCGTACAAAAATATAAAATGAGAGAAAGAAAGAAAGAAAGAAAGAGAGATAGAAAGAAAGAAAGAAAAAAACAAATAATCGTAAAAAATATAAAATAATAGAAAGAAAGAAAGAATCGTACAAAAATATAAAATGAGAGAAAGAAAGAAAAAGAAAAAGAGAAATGAACAAAAACAAAGAAACAAACAAAAATAACAGAAAAATAAGGAAAATGAACAAAAAGAAAAATTACGAATATAAAGAAAGAAGCGAACGAAAGAAAGAAGGAAGCGATCAGATAGATAGATAGATAGATAGATAGATAGATAGATAGATAGATAGGAGTGAATAAAACTATAAAAGAATCGAAAAAAAGGAAAGAAAAAAAGAAGGAATAAAAAAGGGATCGAACAAAAAGAAAGAAAGAAAGACAGAATCAAACAAGAATATAAATGATTCGGACAAAAAGAAAGAAAGAAATGAACAAAAATAATTGAACCGAAACAAAATGTAACCTAGTCAAAATGAATGAGAAAAAGAAAAATTAACAAAAGTGTTGAAAATCCAAAAGAAAGAAAGAATTAAACCGAAGAAAAGAATGAAAAACAAAAAAAAATTTTTTTTTGAAATAGTAACTCTTGTAGAGAAGTAAGAATATTAAAAACATAACAATGGGCCATTGAGACTAATTCCTGATACCAACTTATGTCGGCTGGAGAAAAATGCAAGATGAAGAAATGGGTAAAAAAAAAAGATCGAAATATTTTTTAGATTACGAATAAATAAACTGCAAATAAATATATCTTTACACAGAGGCATCATCCCCATTCTCCCCTTCAATTACCCCTCATCATGTCCCTCTCTCTCCCCGTCTTATATTCTTTGCCTCTATTTTTCAATCACATTCGACATCTCTTCTCTCTCTCTCTCTCTCTCTCTCTCTCTTATTAACTTCTTTTACCTGCACAATCCTATTTAGGTAATTTTGCTCTCCCCACCCCCTCTAAAACAATTTTACTTTGCTTCCTTCTCTCTCTTTCTGTCTATTTCTCACTTTATCGTATAAACTCGTGTATACGTCTATTTTGTGAAAATTCAACTTTTAATTTTTTACTATAGGCTCATTAATTTATTGTCGTAAATCAATTACCCCCTCTCTCTTTCTCTTACTTTTTCTCTCTCTTATTCTCACTCTTTCTTTGCATCGGTCTCTCTCTCTCTCTCTCTCTCTCTCTCTCTCTCTCTCTCTTTTTAATTGCACGATTTTATTTAAGTAATGTTAGGGAACTTTTTCACTTACCCGCTCTAAAACTGTTTTAATCAGATCCACTCTTTCTATCTCACCTCTCTCTCTCTCTCTCTCTCTCTTATTCATTGCTCATTTCATCGTATAAACCCGTGTATAAGTCTATTTTATGAAAATCCATCTTTTGATTTTTTATGATAGATTCATTAATTTATTATTATAAGTCTACCCTAATTATTAACCTCTCTCTTTCTCTCTCTCTCTCTTTCTATATTTCTCTCTCTCTTTTCTCCTCTCTTTTTCTCTAATTATCCACCTCACTCTCACTCTCTCTCTCTCTTTCACTCTCTCTCTCTTTCACTCTCTCTCTCCCTTTCTTTCTCTCCCTCCCTACCCGAAAATCTAGCGAAATCACCTATAAACATATGTGAATTTTGGTAACGTCGTGCACATGATTCTTCTTCTTTGAAATGCCATCTCCTTTCCGAATGTTAACGATCATAGATCTCCACAACTTCCCGTCTTTTGTTTCTCCAAATAGTTTTAAACCTATATCCAGCCCGTTTTGTTCCTTTTCTACCATCCTTTCGCTCAAAATCTTTGTTCTCCGTTGTCTTACAAGTGCCAAAATTCCAACCCTCCTTTCCCCATTATGTCTCTCAAAAATGTAATTCCTGAATTTTTAGCAGCAATTTTCTTATAGTTCCAATTCTCTTTTTAAAAATAATTCCTCATTTTAACCTGTTCTGTTTATGGTATTCCTAGCCTTCATCGCAGATCCATATCTCTGCCATTTTGACTCACATCTTTATCTGCGAGGAAATTTTCAATCATTAACCTCTATATAGGAATGTAGTCATTATATGGCAGTTCAGCAATCTTTGTTTTTAATGAAATTTTCCTATTTCTTAATACTTTTCTTAGTTTCTGGAAGGCAACGTGCGCTATTCATATGCACCTTTGGAAATCTATGCCGTCACTTACTGCAATACCCAGATACACTTGCTTGAATTTTAACCTTGCTCACTTAGACAGAATATTTCGGCCGTTGTCGGACTGAAAAGACAAACATTCTTCACGAAAATGGATTGTCTGAAAACAACCTCAAATCCCGAGTTGAAATCTGCTCTTCTCTCCATTCTCGCCAACTTGTTTCACCCTTTTTTGGATAGACTTGTGACTGGCGACGAAAAATGGATCTTTTATCGAAATGTTAAGCGTCGTAGACAGTGGCTTGGTAAAGGGGAAGGACCCCAGCCACAGCCGAGAAGGGAACTTCATGGGCAAAAGGTTCTTCTTTCAATCTGGTGGGTTCGCCCATGGATAATCCACTTTGAATTCTTACCACCTAATGCAACAATTAATGCTCAAATATGCTGTCAGCAATTAGAGCGTTTGAACCAAGCTTTGAGGGGAAAAAAAAGACCTGTTCTAGTGAATCGAAAAGAGGTGATGTTTCATCAGGACAATGCGCGACCCCACACAGCAAGAATCACGTCACAAAAGATCGAAAAACTTGGTTGGGAGAAAATTCCTCATCCACCTTATTCTCCCGATCTTGCTCCTTCAGACTACCATTTGTTTCATAGCTTACAGAATCATTTGGAAGAAACAGCTTTTGTAACACAAGAAGAGGTTAAAACTGACATCTGTGAGTTCTTAGAATCAAAGCCAAAAGAATTTTACAGTAATGGAATTAGTAAGCTTGTTAATAGATGGAAGGAAGTCATAGATAATCAGGAAAAATACATTGTTGATTGAATCTGTAATTAAATGTAACATTTGGTCATTTGTTTTCTTTATTGAAAATTCGGACAGAACTTATGGGATGACCTGATATATTAGGGGAAATATCGATGTTGCACCTGAAAATTCGAGGAATTTGAATAGACTGGTCAGTTTAAGCATATGTCAAAATAGGTGTTTTTTCGCTGGCCATTTCGCTCATCTCATATTATCACACATCTCATGTTATCACACATGTTATCACATATCACATGTTATCACACATCTCATGTTATTACACATGTTATTACACATCACATGTTATCACACATCTCATGTTATCACACATGTTATCAAACATCTCATGTTATCACACGTTATCACACATTACATGTTATCACACATCTCATGTTATCATACATGTTATCACACATCACATGTTATTACGCATCACTTGTTATCACACATCTCATGTTATCACACATGTTACCGCACATGACATGTTATCACACATTTCATGTCATCACACATGACATGTTATCACACGTCTCATATTATCACACATCACATGTTATGACGCATATTGTTATCACACATTGCATGTTATCACACATCACATGTTATCGCTTCACATGAAAGTAAAGATCCTCATTCTCGATTCTTTTTTGGTAGTTTGATAGGTTCTAAAAGTTTAAAAAGGAAATGAAGGATGTTATTAAAGATGTTGTGTCGATGAAAAGATGCGTTGGAAGAAAAATCATCTGCAAAAAGAAGTTTTCGATGCATTTTTGTTCACACGGAGAGAAAGACGATGGATGCTTTGAATAATTTAACGTCTACATCCGACCGACTCTCCAGATTTTCATCCATCTATTTACTGATTTTCAATGTTCAAAAGGAATTTGAAAAAAGAGAAGAATTTGGAATAATTCAATCATATTGTCGGATAGCAGAGATGATATACAAAGATATGTTTATGCCTTCACACATTATTCATAGCCGTGAAATACGTACTTACTTTCCGAACACCTTAACACTTCTATAGCCAAAACTTCGTGTTAGTTTCAAATATAGGAATAAAAGTTTGGAGGCAAACGTCTAAGTTTGCCTCCAGCCTTTTATTTGTGCCCGAAAAAAAAAAAACGGTGTGTTAAAAGAAAGATTTTTTCCATTAATACCACTATAATTTTAACTACCTCAGTAGTCTTCATTTTAAAAAAAAACGATTATTAAAATTAGGGCTTTGTTTGATCAGAATGTTCTGTGACCGAGAGGTCAAGGCAAGTCAGGTCTAATAACAGAAACATAAAATTATGGTTGTTGATCTGACACTTCCAGT